GACCAATCTGCCTTCTTCCAAGCTTCAGGATCTCTTGGGAGAAATCTATTTAAACGTCCACAAGCAGGAGAATTTGCAATATTGCAACTACCATATGCACCACAGTATTTATAAGTATCACAATTATCTATTGGAGCAGTCAGGTAAACTACCCATTGACGTTTTTGATCTATCCATGTCCAGGGCTCGACAACTCCACTCGGACTCAATGTAAACCTTGAGATAACTGACCTGTTAAGGAGACCATACTGATAGTATACCTCATTTTTTTTAGTACTAATTCAAATTTGAAAATATCATTTTTCCTCAAGTTTGGTGTCCCACTAAAACGGAGACCATTCCATGGTCTAGTTTTATACTGCTCAACTGAACCTTTTTTCAAAATATTTTGCGGATAACCAGTAGATATGCACACACTGCAGACCATCACAGTGAAATGTAAAATATCCTGAACTTGATAGATAGACCTCTAAATCAGTTATAAAGTTCCAACTGAGCTTCATACCTGGTAACAATGTATCAGTCAGATAATTAAAACTCTCCGATGGAAAGTTCACTGGGTCATCATCATTTGCATCTTTCACGACGAGGTTTCCCGAGTCCAGCAATTTTGCAACTGCAGTTTTCACAGGTCGTGATGTATTCGAAGACCATATGATGACACCATTAGTGTCGTTTAGAAGAACTAGAAGTCCTGGTTCGATAACCTTCAAGACTCCAGATTTATTTGTAAGGGGAGGGGGCATTTGCACTTTTTTAGAAGTTTCACCTATAATTGCAATTTTTTCTTTTTTCTTTTATTTAAAGAGGAGGGCATATTGGTCCTTTTACACCCAAAAAATAGTGAAAAGGACCTTCGACGCAAAGAAAGGTGGAAATAGGGGCAAAAATACCAAAAAATGAAAGGTAGGGGCATTTTCCACAATACACTCGAAAGGTAGGTACGTTTTGTGCCAATTACCCTTATTAATTTCATTAACCCTCATTAAGTAGTAAATTTTTATTTCTTGATCTTTATATAAATTTTGCCATGAAATACTATAAGGTTTTAGAGTCGAATATGTAAATCCTACGAGGTATATGAATTCTTAAGAAATTCCTTAAGCCATTGGATGTAGTGGCTAGCTTGCTTTAAATCTAAGAAATGTTGGTATGTTATGTCATTTAATATTTATATCCAGTAATAAGAATATCACGTATTTTTACTAAGTATTTTGAAAATACTCACTTTTACAATAACTTTTCATATTAGAATGGGTCGTGTGGATGCGTGGAAGATTAACCGAATGATACTTATGGGGTCCCCAAATAAAAAATTGTAGAAATGATTATTGCAAATTTATTTTTTTTAAGAATAAATTTTATGTTAAATTCCATGCACATTATTTTAGTAATTTTGGTGTTTGAGCCTTGAGATCCCATGTCGAATTGAATTTGACAAATTTAAAATCTTCGTATTTAAGATTTAATTATATATGAAAATTTTCATTTAAATTGTTGAATTTAAGATTTATTGAACAAATCCCAATATTTATACAATCATGTTAAAATCTGTGTAAACTAAATAAGAAAGATTTTGATAACACTTCAAATCCTCATATAAAAAATAAAAAAAATAAAAATAAATGTAGTAGACTTGGGAGTTGCAGCTTGGTATCAGAGTCCAAATCTATCATTTTTTAGGCTGAATTAAAAAAAAATTATATTTTTTACTATCATGTATAATATGAATTTTGTTTAAGTAAATTACGAGCAAAAAAAAAATAAATAAATAAAATTTGTGGCCCCAACATTGAGATGATTTAACTTGGACTGTGGTTTATGATTGTGTTAAAATCAATGTACATGAATAGTGAAAAGTGTGTTACTGTTCACTGTTATAATTTGAGTTGATAATTTATATCAAGTAAAACTTTTTGTTATATAACTTTTCCTTCAAGCCTAGTATGAAGCCTATCTTCATGGAAATGATAAGAAAAATTCTTGAAAAGCTCCAGACTTTTGAATAGTTTGACTGTTTTGCTTTCTTTTGATTATTTGAGCATATTTATTCAACATGGCATAACTCAGCACTTATTCATTTGCTTCATTGCTGATCTGGAACTTTCTCACAAAGCAAATTGTTCCTTTTGTTTTTAAATTTATAGAAATAGACTTAGAGTAACATGTTGCTCAGGTATCTTTAATTTCATTTTTGTACAAAAAAAAATAAATAAATAAATATATTAAAATAAGACCTATGTCATTTAACACTCGTCAATCAACTACCGTCCGATGAACTAGATATGAAATAAAATGTTATGTTCCATTTTTTTTTCGACCATGATATATGAATTATTTAAGCTAAATTTCATAAAATGCTTATGCGATATTTAGAATGAAATATGTTACGCAATTATTACTTTGTTTTAATTTACATGAAGGCATGATGATTGGCCATTATATTAAAACTACAAGAGCATAAAATATACTTTGATATCACTAACAAAGATAAAACATAATTGAACAATTATGTTACAAATATGGCTAGAACTTATCAGATCGCTAGAATGACCATAATTTGTAGAGTAGTGTTGAACCGTAGGTCCATCGTTCACTCTAATGAGAATTACTTTATTGACCTGGCTCGTTCGCTTATCGAACACATGCAAGACATCTATGAAAAATATATGATAGCTGTGGATGCATGACTGGAGATCATGCATTCCAAGGCTATGAATAACCTCATACGCTCACTTTCACCTCAATGGGGAGACATGAGAGTTATGGTTAAGGATGAGATGTTAGAAGGTAACCCTCTAGAGCACCCAAACATTGTCAAACCCTTCTAGATAGGTGGAGCGAGAGCTTAGAACTTAAATTGGAGATAGTAAATAAGCTCAATGATGAGGTTGAGCCTAAGCCTGAGCTAGAGCCCAAGCACAAGCCCGTACTTCAATTTGAATCAGACCTAGAGGAAGATCCCTATTGGAAGCATGGGGATGACTTTGGATTAGATTTAGGAATGGGCACGAGCATGAACTTGAGCCACTGGTTGAGATACACATAGAGTTCGGGCCTGAGGCAGAAGACTTCTTCGAAGATGAAGCTCCAACAACGAAGATTCGTAGGATTCATAGGGATTAGAAACTTATATCTTTTTTCCCTTTTACTTTCTTCATTATGTTACTGGAAATTAAAATAAATGATTTATTTTGTTTACGTGTATTTTTTAAAATTTATCGTAAGTTATTTGGGTCTAATATTTAAATATTTTAGAAGTTGATAAAAATATATCAATATTATACTCATTTTGTACCTCTTGTTAAATAATATAATTTGGGCTCAAGAAAAGTAATTTTGAGCTAGTTATGCCCGAGTGGTTCTAATAGAAAGAAAAAGTATTATCCTCGAATAATAATAATAGTAATGATACGGTTATATATATGAAAAAGTAATTAAATTAATTTAAACCTAAACATAACATTTACTTTGACTTGATTTAAAATTCATTAAAATCGTTAACCAATGATGATTAATTTCATTAACCCTCGTTAACATGAAAATGCCTTTTGATTTATGTAAGTTACATGCATAGTAGTGGAAAAATATACATATATGTGTATATTTGAGATGAAATGATTTTTCTTCTACCAAAAAGTTTATATTGTACACATTTTATATGTGTCTGTGCGCGCGTGTGTGTGTGTATTCACAAGCTATATTTCAATATCTTAGTGTTAATCGAGATAAGAATACATAGTACGAAGTGGTAATTTTTTATTTCTTGATGTTTATATAAATTTTGGCATGAAATACTTACTATAAGGACTTAGGGTCAATTTCCGTGATAAATCCTACGAGATAGATCGTTAGGTAGAATATGTAAATCCTATGGGATAGAATATGTAAATCCTATGGGATATAAGAATTCCTAAGAAATTCCTTAAACCATTGGGGTATCGCAATCAGTTTGCTCTAAATCTAAGAAATGTTTGTATGTTATGTCATTTTATATTTATATCATGTTAATAAGAATATGCACGTATTTTTGCTGACTATTTTCAAAATATTCACTTTTACAATAACGTTTCTAGATTAGAACAAGTTGTGTGGACGCGTGGAAGATTGATCGAGTAATGCTTATGGGGTTGCCAAGTAAAAAAATTTAGAAATGATTATTACAATTTTTTATTTTAAGGATAAATTTTATGTTAAATTCCATGCACATTATTTTAGTAATTTTTGCCTTCGAGGCTTGAGATCCCATGTTGAATCGAATTTGACAAATTTAAATTCTTCGTATTTAAGATTTAATTATATATGAAATTTCTCATTTAAATTGTTGAATTTAAGATTTATCGATCAAATCCCAATATTTATGCAATCATGTTATATTCCGTATAAACTAGATAAGAAAGATTTAGGTAACACTTCAAATCACCATTTAAAAAAATAAAAAAATATATGTAGATTTGGGGTGTTGCACGTCCCATACCAACTTACACAATTAAATTAAAACTATGACAAATACAAACGAACATGAAACAAAAAACCACCAAAATCAGGATTAAGTATTCTCCAAAGTTTATCTATGGGAGACTTGTTATCACTAGCTTTGCCAAATATAAAAGAATGAATTTTATTTTCATATTTATATTCCCTAATAATTTGTCGGATATAATTATAAATATTATTAGCATTATAAGGATAGTCAATTATCTTAAAAGTATTTTTTTTTTTGGCATAAATCAAAGTAGGTTTATGTAGTGTGCAGTTGCTGTTAAATAAGCTTTTTTTATTAATACCTTCTCATAAATTTGGAGTCAAATATATTACACCACCATATTTATTTAAATTACTAGTCAATTGATTCTTGATTCTATGGAAATAACCAATGGTATCAAAATGAAGAGTATTTTTACTTACCCCTTCGTACCTTCATTGAAGATATTCCTTCACAAATATTGTAAAATGCTCATTGTCCACTATGCTCAGTGGCAACTCTGCACCGACAACGATCTTCACCATTCGATCACAAGTTCTTTCCTACGAATACATCATACCTCAGTGTTGAAGAATCACTATGGAAGAAGGAGTACTAAAGGTTAGTTCTGTTTGAGATTGACCAACAAGCTAGCCCATGTTTGGTCATACATTTGATGGTGATTGAGGTGGGTAGTATTGCTACCATTTTTCCATGCCAATCTTTGTTGGCACATTTACACACTACTTTAAACTCTTGGACTCTGTTGTCAGTGCGACCAGTTGAAATCAATTTAAAGTGTTCCCAACACTTCACAGCTTTTTTCCCTTTCACTTTCCTCTTGTTTTGGTAACTTGTAGTTCGACTTTGCCGACATATTCATCTATGTCATCCAAATCAATTGGATTTCTACTTCTATGTGCATCGTCAATGCCCATTCTCGACAAATGATCGGGGATGGAGATGTTGTTGAAACCGATAAATTGATTAGGAAATTGAGATTGTGGATTCAAAGGTGATGTTGATCTCCCACTCCTCAGAGGGTAATCTTTTCCCATAAGCATATCTTCCCAAGACTTCATTTTATGCTTCAATACCTTATCTGCCCTGTACCGTAGTTCAGAAAGATGATTGAGGGCAAAACCTCTTCTTGTGTCTTCCCAACCTAAAGATAAAATAAATAAAAAAAGAAAGTCAAAATTATCCCAGATTTCCTTGATTTGTCTCCTCAGATTTACAGATTTGCAAGAGACCTCTTTAGTCATTGAAGGCAAGGCTGGA